GGGCCTTCCTCCGCCCGCTGCGCCGGGACAGAGCCACAGCTGGCCGGCACGGCACGGCACGGCACGGCCCGACCCCAAGAGGCCGCGAAAGTAAAGGCGTGCTCGGATGAAACGCTGCCGTAGGAAAATGAATAACTGTACAATTAACCTGTCGGCTTTTTCTTCCAGGGTTTTTTATTGCTGCGGGGTAACCGAAAGGAGGTGGAATAAAGACAAAAACCCAAAAAACGCATCACCCCGTGGGTTAGTCATTTGAACTGGACAGTTCGAGGGAAACGGGAGGCCGGGGGCATGAATATGAACTAAACAAAGTTTAACCACCCCTCCTTTTTCTTCCCATACACAAAATGGAAACCTTATTACATGATTCACTGTGAATCACTAGATTGAATGCGATCATTATGAGTAAATGATAGTCGGGGCTCCGCTGGTCTTTTCTTTCCTAGAGGCAAAACTATAAAATATGAAGGATATAAATGATCTTCTCTCCGCTCTCTCATAAAGGACATTCATTCAAAGCTGCACTGTCTCACTCCCAATTCCTTTGGTCCCATTGAATTCCACAGCGATCAAGGTAGATTATGGCGAGTCCCGGTTTATTTGTCTTCACGTGCTTGTTTATTGGCGAAATGTCACGAAATGTAATTTGTCCCAAATTCTTTAACATGAGAAAATACTTTGTGGTTGAAGGAATCCATGCTGGTACAGCCAAGGCAATCTCCGATGCTCAGAGCAAGTTCATTATCATGCTATTCTACAGCATTTCCATGTTTATTCCTCATTTTTCAGGAGCCTTTTATATATTGTTGCATAAGAGAAGGATTTCGCTTGCTCTAGTTATGAGATTTCCTAGATTTTTTTTATAGGCGGAGCCGTTTTACAAAAGCTGTATTGTTTGACTGCGGTCTGGGTTTCCATTTGGGGTAATTATTGTATTCCCAGTCTTCTTCTAATCATTTGCTCACAAGGACACAGTTTTTTTTCCTTGCCTTTTGAAGAAGATGAAATACTCCAAACTTGCAAGACCATTGGAATAATGCCCCCACTTCTTTGCCTATTGTGTAAAAGCTATTCCTTACATCTCTCTAAATTGCTGGAAAATATGTGATGGAAAGAACGGTAGGAAAACATATAGAACAGAAGAAACGCGTGTCACCACATTTTGAAAAAACTCTGCAAACTGCAGAAGTCCTGACTTAAGTCTGTTCCCAATAGAGAGGTCTATGCGAATGGTGGCACACACACACACACACACCCTCAAACACAAAACAAACGCACTTTTCAGAAGGAAATACATTTCAGCTAGATTATAATCAGCTCTGAGGAAAAAAATAAAAAGTTCATAGAAGGAGAAATCAAGGGGAAGCAAATGCTCATGTGCAGCAGGGCTATGCCTGTGCAGAAGGGTTTCTCCTCCAGCTGTTGCCTCCAGCTGCACAGCTGGAGGAGGGCCGGGAGCTGCAGCCCTGCCGGCAGACAGTGGCTCAACCTGCAGGCACCAGAGTTGAACTTGGCAGGTCTCCTCCTTCCAGCATTCTTTTTGGACCTTCCTGCTGGTGTCACACAGGTTCCCAAGGCAAGACTGCTTCCCTCCACCTTTAAATTGTGTCTGCAAAACCCAAGGCCCAAAACAATCCCTCTAAACTCAAAAGGAACAGGATTGGGGCAAATGTTTCTTTTCTTCTTCAGCTAGGATGGTACAAAACTAATTGCCTTAAGCAAAAACCTGCCAGTTAGGAAAACATGTATTCATGCATATACATATAGAAGGATTTTAATTTCTCCGTGCAGAGGAAACTACAGCTGAACAGCAGAGGAACTGGCATTAGGTACCTTTCCAGACTTTGTCTATGGAAAACCAAAACAATGTCATGCTCCTGCAACTATCAAAGACATTTGCAAGTATTTGAAACTGTCCTGATGATATGTAACCTCCTGCTTAGGAATTCCAGTACCTTATTATTTTGGTGATGTGATCTCACCATATCCTTTTGCTGAGTGGCAGCCGATGGCTAGATATGATATTGGGAGTTATGTAATTCTAATAAATCAATGTAACCAAACAATTTCACTGCCAGAGGAGGAGGGAAAAAAAATCCCAAATATTTTATAGGGCAACTGAATTTGTCTTTTAGAAAGCATATGTTCTTCTCAGACTTTCAATCAACCACAAGCATAGACATAATCTAAAATGTTCCTGGCTTGTCCACTGCTGGGCCGATTAGCTTTTGGAACAGAAGAGATAGCATTTCTAGACATTGGTCTGCCTTGAGTTGCCTTCATGTTATTCTCTGCATATGTGATTTTCACGTTATTTATGAGGCAAATGTGAGCTCTCTATTGGTGTTGGGTCACTTTGCTTTTCAACAGCTGGGGTTTTTCTGTCACTCAAAGCAGAAGTTACTTCAGCCTTGCAAAGAACATCAGACTGCTCCTTGCAATCCACGGCTTGAAGGTACAGCACCCTCCATGCAGCTGAGCATCCCTCGCAGGGGTGAGCAAAGCCTGGCCCACAAAGGGCTTTGGGTGGCTGCGGGGTGCCCAGACCAGGGGCACAGGCTGATGCCCACCTACCTCCTCCCACATCAGCAGCGTGGACCATGCTGCAGAGTGAGATGTGGTCCTGCTGTTGGGTCCAAACTCTGCTGCCTTGGGGTGGCACCAGACTTGGTCTGTCCCATGAGGTCTTATCACACTTGGGATGGATTTGGGTCAGTTTGATTTTTACTTTGGAGACAACCTAAAGGACAGTAACAAAGTGCTCCTACTTTTTTCTTTTTCTATAAAATCAAGGGAAGGATAATGATCTAATGGTGCCACATTAATAACACAGAGAGACAAAGAGGAGGCTCTGACAGAAGGCAGAGCAGAGGTGCATTCAGCACATCCCCCTTAGGTTTGCTGACATCTTTTTGTAAGTGATTTCACCTCTGTTACACTGAAGTCTCCTGTGAGAGTCCTTCCTTCACTTGTTACTAGTGCAGCTGCAAGCCCTGGCAGTGTGTGAGATCTGCACACACACACACACACACACACGTACACTTCACATCTTAACTCCCACACTCTGGTCGTTGAGGCTGGGACATGGGGGCAAATCACCACCTGCTTGACCCAACAGTAGCTATTTAGAGGGAAAAATCACATGTGGCAGCCTTACAGATAAATTCAGGTCCTCCTCACTTGACGACAAAGGTAGCTAAATACCAGTGATGTATAAAACCAGGGACAGAAAAAGAAATGTCACAGGAATGTACACAGAGCTGACACAAGGGAAGGGAGCAGTAAGTTCACTGTCAGTGACAGGGAACACCTTTGTTCCAGCTGAGAGTTTGAAAAATAAGGGGAGGAAGAGAAGCAGAAGAAAAAGGGGAGAAAGGAGTATGATGAACATCTTGGAAAGTCACCGGAAACTTTGTTCTTAGGAGTAAATCTGGCTTCTTGTGATCCCCTTTCAGTAGGGCTGGCTGGGAGCCAGCTGGGTCCCCTGGAGCCCCCCCTGACTTATTTGTCTGGAGCCTG